CCTCAAGCCATTATAATATTTAAATTTGAACTCAAAAGTAGTAAAACCAGCTCGCACGTTACACAAAGTTGAAAACACAAAGGGATGACATCTACGCCAGCATTAAGAAAATTTCACGATGCTAGGTGTTTTCTTCCCCAGTGATTCATGATGGTAGTTGAAATATGAATCAAGAAAAATAGAAATCATCCTTTAAATTCCACGTTCCTACCGTACAACATGGGTTAAACGTTTAAAAGAGGCAAGATGTTTCCAGAGTCTTCTTTTTTCGTACCGTTGAAAAAACGAGAAAGATCGAAGAAGGAGGGGGGGCTGTCTGCTTCAGAATTTGATATGCCAACGGTTACAGCCATCAAATAATTTACTTTTTCTCTTTTGGAAACTTTTGATGGCCGTGACTGGGAAATTGGTATCCTTAAGTGCACGTTAAGCGTGGACCCGCTGTTTTCCAAAGCGAGATTCCCATTTTTCTTTGCTATGTAACTACTGCCTTTTTTCGTGGGATACCAAATAGTAGAATATCATATTTTTTGCACTCCCTTTTTCCATTAAAAGAAAATGACATGAACGGTCGTTTTCGGTCCAGTAATATTGGATTTGGTTAAGCTGTTTACCTTTGTGACTTGTACGTTCGAACTTCATGAAATTTTTTTTCTCTCTTTTCAAATTAATCTTATAAATAATTACAAATTATTTAAAAAAAAATAAAGAAAATGATTTTGTTTTTTTCCCATTTGTCACTGCCAACTCCGCTAACCGTTGTCCGTTTCTGTTTGGCTATCGAGAAAACGAAGGAAAATTAAAAAGATGATGTCAAAGTTAAATCGTTTTCTGTTTGCTAGTATAGTGTCATCAGAATACAGTAGATTTTGACGAAATTTTTTTGTGCTCGTCTGCAAATTGATATGACTAAATTACGAGAGTTTTATATCGTTTAAATAATTAAGCGCCGTTGTTGATCGAGAGGGAGAGAGTTCAGAAATTCTACATGATTTCATGGCTTCTTATATGGCCCTACATTTAATGATATTATATATCCACTTGGAGGCATGTGGGTTTTATGCAATCATCTCATAGTGGGGAACAATTAACACACCAAATGTTTGCTGGATGTATAAGTAAAAAAAAGATGTGTTATGTTTAGATAAGAGTATGATATTTTGTAATTTAAATAGTAGTAAATTATAAAATATTAGTTATTTTAAAGAGGTTAAGGTCTTCCCTAAAATCAAAGGCTCTTCTTAATCAAATGATTTTATTTATATAAAAGGTATAGAAAATTCAGCAACTTTTTTTCGGTTGACCTAAATTAATAACTCACAAATTAAAAATGCTTTTTAGCTCATGGGTGCATGATTAGCAATTTAAATGAAACAAATAATTGATATTCATTCTATCAAAAAAAAAATGATATTCGACTGCGAACAACTATTATTTTTTGCGTATAATCAAATTTTCTTATACGTTTAATCCAAACTGCCAGCTTCTAAGAGGGCATGTATTTATGTTCAGTAAATTAATTAATAAAGAGAGAGGAGATGGGTTATATATATCAGAATGAACAAAGTGTGTCCTTTAATAATCTAATCATTGGTTGTACCCTATATTCTCTGCTCCAAACTATTAATATTATAAACAAAGTTCTGATACAACCAAAAAAAAAAGAGAAAAAAAGAAGGGAAAAACCAAATATTCCAAAAACGAATAAAAGAATTAGATTTCTTTTTTGGTGAAAATAAAAGAATTAGATTAGGATAATATAAGACTATGATATATATTTTTTGTTCCTGAGTTGTATAACGAGAGATAATTTTTTTTTATCTTTAATTCATTTCATCCACATACTATATAACTTAAATTTATGATCTTTTATTTCTAACAAAAAAAATATTATTGAATTATTTATATTATTAAAAAAATTATTTATTTTTTGAAATAGAGAGAAAGAGTAAAAAATTTCACATGTTCCATACCGAGATAAAATTTTTTCCTTATAACAAAAAGAGAGAGAGAGAGAGAGAGAAATATTTCCATCTTGGGAGTTTGGGCTGGTGATAGGCCGTGAAACTCCAATAAGGGTCCAGTGCAATTCAGATAGGCCCAATCCAAAAACACTAAACCCACCGGGCATTCACAACTTGTAAGCCCACAACTTGGACAGAATATTTTTTGCACTCAGAAAGGAAAGCCCGTGAGCGATCTCAATCCTGAGTTGGCAGTGTAGTTTTAGAATTCTCGATGAACAAGGAAGATTGGAGATTAGTTGCGGTAACAACGTGTAATGATCTCAACCGTTGATTTCCATCTAAAATCCGACTTGTAACTTTTTTTTGATCGGCAAAATAAATATTATTGAAACTGAAACAAGAGTACGAGGATAATCCAAATCCAACCCTTTATATTATCATATCATATTCATGTTAAATCTCGATTAATTTGAAATCGAATTATTTGAAATCGAATCAGGTCAAATTTTATTAGAAAAAAACTTTAAGTTTTTATTTTTTTTATTTAAAAAATTTTAATTTAAAATTTTATTTAAAGAAAATCGAATCATTTTCATTCAAATTAATAAATCATTAATCTAAAAACTTGTATTAAATAACACAATTCAGTCCCAGCACAAAATCAATAGAAACACCAACGTGTAACGATCCCATTGGGAAGCAGAACCATCTCAAGTAAACTTCCAACTGCACCTAAACTCTCCCAACACGATATGTATGGACTCCAACTCCCAAAATCCCGCAAAAACCTCTCCCCCTTTCTCCTATAAACACTCCCATCCCCACACCTATCTTCTAAAACCCTAGAATTCTCATCTTCTTTCCAATCCACCCATCAACAATGGCGCCTACCTCCTCAGAAAAACAGCTGAATGTAATCCGTCGTTGCGAATCTGACTTGTTCTGGGTGGAGAAGATTATGATAGTCACTCTAATTCTCCTCCCGATTTGCATAGACAATTATATTTTCACTAGATTTGTTTTCTTGAACATTATTTTAGGTTTCATAGCCTCCAATGTCAGCTATGTCTTGCTCTTCATGGAGCGCCAACGAATCCGTCCTTTCTCTTTTGTAAGTTAGATACACGATAATTAGAGTTATTAGTCTTTCAGTTTTAATTGGATCAAATAACAATTTAAATTATAAAATAAAAATTATTGAATAAATACATAGCTTTTAATATTTAAGGACTCCACTAATCATCTAATAATTTTTTATTTATAATTTAAACTGCATGATTATTTTTTTTAATACTTAATTATTAAAATTTCATAGAATTCTTGTAGTTTTACAAAAAACTTGATATCGTTATTAATATTAAACAGCTACAAGTAAGATTGTGAGACTTTTGTTCATGAATCCGGTTTGATTTGTCATATTTTGATTTTGGGTGTTTCGATATTAATTGGTGCAGGAACCCTGTGCCTTTTTCTACATCGAGAGGGTAGAGATGGGGGCTGCGGCGCTGTATGCTTTCGGTATAAAGACAAATTTCGGTTGGGGTCGGGCGCTGAATACTTTTGGTACAATAAAGACGAATTTTGCTCTTCATATCCTAATATTGATGCAATTATTTTTGACCGTACAGTATATATTGAAGTATTACAAGGGTGGTGCTACAGTGAGTTCTTAATTTTTAGTTTTAGTTTTTCTAAATTTGTTATTTTGCAATTTAAAGGCTCTCTTGTATAGCTGTTCAAATGTATAAATTATTAATAATAAATATTATTAACCATCACATAAAATCACCAATCAGCTTATTCATTATTTTGACTTTTTTTTTCATTTTAGGAAAGTAGCAACGATGGGGGATCCAAGATGGTTGGTTCCCATGAAGGATCAGTGAAGAAAGCAAAAATTATTATAAGCAAATGTTTCCAGTATTGCCACTATGTCTATGGTTTAGGGTTGTTGAGTTGTGGATGTGTTTATGACATCAACGCATGTTGGGTTCACTTATGGAACTCTGAAACAGATGCTGCTGTAAACGTCAGTCTCCTCCCAGACGAACCAAAGCGAGAGGAAGAAGAGATGGAGGACGACTCAAAAGATGCTGCTGTAAAAATCAATCTCCTCCTAGAAGAATCAAAGCGAGAGGAAGAGATGGAGGATGAGGCAGAGGTAGAATCAGAGTCAGAGTCCGAGAACATGAGCGATACAGAATCAGAGGAAAAGAAGGAAGATGAGACGGACTCAGAATCAGTGGAAGAGGACGAAGATGAGACAGCCTCAGAATCAGAAGAGGAGAGCGAGGATGCAGAATCAGAGGAGGATGAGACAGACTCCGAATCAGAGGAAGAGATTGAGGATGAGACTGACTCAGTGTCTGTCAAGGTTGGCGTCAAGGAAATAAAGATTATGAACCATGCCATGGATCTTTGCACTAAGCTTTTAAGAGAGATTTCGGGGCTAAAAGAAAATCTTACATCAAAATTTGAGAACTACCGAACCAAGGTTGAAGCCGAACGCAGAAAGTGGGAAGAAGAAAAAGAAAATCTTTCGTCAAAAATTAAGCATTACCAATCTGCAGAGGCAGAGTATGCAGCAGACCGTCAGAAGTGGGATGAAGAAAAAGAAGCACTCAATAAAAGAATACAGAATTACGAAAGGGAGCAGTCGATATGGGAAAAACAAGCAAATTTTTTCCAAGAAACCCAAGAAGTATTGAACAACTACTCCAAGCATCTAGAGGAAAAACGCAAACTGGAAGTCGAGCTCGAATTTAACAAAAAATTGGTTGAGGAGTACAAGGTAGGTTACTGTTGGTATAAAGGCAACTACTTCAAGCTAAGGGAGGAGAATTTGGATCAGGCATCGAGGCTGTCCACTGAGGCATCGGTGGCTGAAAGATTGCAGAAGGAGAATGGTGAGTTGGAGGCCAAGTGCCGCAGATTGGAGGAGGAGAATGGTGCGCTGACGGGCAAGCTGTCTGCTGCCAGGGAGGCATGCGAACTTTACAGGTCCTACTTGCGGGATTTGAGCACTGGTTTTAATTCAGCCAGGCGTTAATTTTAGTTTAGCCTTGTAGTTAATGACTTTTATTTTTTGTTTAGGTTCGTACTTGTTTTTGGAAAGTAGGATGGTTTAACTTTTTTTTTATCTTTTTTTTTTAAAAAGGCAATGGAAGGGATGGTTTCTTCACCTATAAGCACATAGAACACAACTTAGCCAGGCTCAATATTGTTTCTTTCCATCTCATTTACCACATGTTTGCTTTGCAATTTTTATGGGTTGGATTTGGGTTGTCCCTTTCAGTGCTACATTGAGAAGAGTTTGTTTGTTTTTAATTATTCTATTTATTTCAAAATAATTATTTTTAAAAATTTTTTAAGTTAAAAACTTAATAACAATATTGATATTTATTTATAATACTTTTAAAAAAATTTAAAAATTAATAATTAATAATTAATAATTTTTTTGTTATTGAATAATTAATTAAGTAATAATAGAATTAAAGTAGTAAAAATTTATTTTTTTATTTTTTATTGAATAATTAATTAAGTAATAATAGAATTAAAGTAGTAAAAATTTATTTTTTTTATTTTTAAAAAATGTTAAATTAATTTGGGATAATATAAAATTAAAAAAACAAATTCAAAGTAAATCGAGATTTTTTTTAAAAATCTTGGATTATGCAAGTAAGCAATAGATACTCATTTCTATTTCTTTTTCCACTTTGCTTAGCTTACGGATCTTCTATTAATCAAAAAAAGGAAAAGGATTCCTTAAGATTGAAAAAGAACATGTGAATAATTGAATTTTGCTTTTGCCAGTGATACGGTGACAGTTGTTTTCCTTGCCAACACCTTTAGCTCAATGTTTTCTTTATTGTTATTTTATCAAACATCATCCTTTTTTTTTTAACTAAAGAAATTGGAAGTAAGAGAGAGAAAATGGGGATAAAGGCTTTATCCAAAAAAAAAAAAAGAAAAAAAGAAAAAGGGAATAAATGGAATTAAATTTCAATAATACGGGTGAAAATCTGCATAATGACAATTAGAGCTACACACCAAAATTCAAACATTATCCATTTGTTGAAGAACGGTTCGCTCCGGCAAGTGACATTAAATTCTGGGTTATGGTTGTTCATTTTCGGTGGGTTATATGTTCGAATTTCACGAAAACCCTTTTTTCCTTCCTCTAATTTACACTGTAAATAATTATAAATTGTTCAAAAAAATTATCAATTTGTTGAAAAATACCCAGCCTTTGAACTATCAATTCAAAACGTTATCAAGTTTGCTTCTGCCTCCCTTCTCTGGTGCTACTTTGGTTTTGCTCGGAAGCCTTTGAGCTTTCGAGGTTTTGATGCTTGTGTTACTGGGCTTCCCGGCCGCTCAAGCATGTTGGAGTTGTTCTATGCCCCCTCCTCCGATGACCCTTCCGAGTCTGTCTACTTTTGGGTCCCTTTTCGATGACCCCTTTTGGTTTTCTTGTTTTTTCCTGTTGTTTTGTTTTTCTTTGTGTTCTTGTATAGTTTATGTTTTTCAGATCAGGTGACCCTCGGCTCTATCCTACAAATCTTGTTAGATATTCGTTGATTTTTCAGATCTGGCCACCGTCGGCTTGGATCTCTGCCGCGCCATCCTTTCCGGAGTAGATTGAAGAGTGTCCCATGACTGGATCGGTCGACCACAGATTGCTCGAGTGACTTCACCTCTCTTCTTTCTATGCATCGGGTCTACTCTACTTTGCTTCTCTAGTTTGTTCTTTTCTTTGTTGGTTACTCTTATCCTTTTGGATAAGGTCTGGATGTAAATGTCACATGGCAGTTTCCTAATGCATTGCTAATTACCTTTTTC